TTCGTTAATTTTTCTTGAGCAAAGAGATTTATTTCTATATATATGAAACATTTCAGTTTTTTTTTTATATATTAAAGAAAATTATAAAATATTATTTAACGCAAAACTTTAAATTATTTGTTCAGTTACATTATTATTAAAATATATTGGATGGATAATTATTGAAAAAACAGAATAATCAATGTAAGATTGGTACATAAGATAGCGTAGTATAATCTCAAATTCTGAAAGTATCAAACTAAATTTTTATAAAATGGAAGTAGGAGCTAGCATATTGCAATTCTTTCTTTTGAAACAATTCATTTACTAGCGAATATATAAGGTACTACATATTAAATTTATTGGTTAAAAAACATATTAAAATAATAAACGATTATATGAATTTCCAAATAAAAGAAGAAAATCACAAGTAGAAAAAATCCATTAAAAATATCTAAATTTTAAAAATAGACAGAATCTTTCAGTACCAAGGAAATAAATCATTTTGTTTGTTGAACAAAAAAAATCATTTTGTTTAGATTTTTTTCTTTTCTGGTCAGATTGTTAAAGATTTACAAAAGTTTATAATTTAGAGTTAGTTTCAGGTAGGATTTGATGATACTTTGTACTATTTTTTTGTATTTGTATATATTTCTAGCCTTCTAGGTTAACTTTAACAAAAAATAATAATATATATTTCTAGATTAATTCTCTATTTAAAAACGTAGAGTAAAACGAATTTCAGGTATTAGACCTTTTTGATATGAAAAGGCCTGTCCCCTGGACCATGTTAGGTGGACTGCAACACGTGTTTATTTCCCCTCGCTGAAAAGACAAAAGAGATTCCCCTTTTTCAATTACGAATTTATGATATGAGTGTCATTTCTAATTTTCCATCATAATATTCCAGTTCCAGTATCAATTCTATCATAATATTCCAAGCCTCATAGATTTGAACTTTACTTGCAACAAAAGGTAAAGCATAATACTGGAAACAGACATACGATCAAACTAAAAAACTCTCATAACGGATCATAAACAAGTTGTTATTAAAATCCTTCAAAATTACTAACTTTTGACCAAAAACAGTTCTATCATTAACCACAACAATACACAGTCACTACAAAGGTTTAAGTCCCACAAAGAATGCTCATACTTATATACATAAGAAACGAGCCAAGTGGCTACATAGACTTATGGTCCAAGCTAGATCTTGTGAACAACAACGCCGAACCATTCACACACCTGAGTACAAGTAACCTACTGTCTATATACGTACCGCACACAAGCTTAGACAAATCGAATATCTCCTGAGGAATCTGCTTCCTAACTTCTCCAATCACATTCCCTGGCGACTCTATACGATCATTCATGCTCATCGTCACTTCGATCTCTCCAGAGACGAGTTTCGCTACAGGAAGACTCGACGGGAACTCCTTGAAAGGCACGACTTTTTTCCATTTCTTGGTTTCTAGTTTCTCGACCAGGCCTTCTTCTGCATCTGGTTCTCCCATTGAGAACTTGCCAATGTTCTTCTTCTCTTCTTTGAGGTAAATTCTTTTTCCAGCTACTAGTCTGAATTGAGAGAGCGTTTGTAATTTACCCGTTGCTCCGGTTTTGTCGTGTGGCCACTCTTTGCTGGTTATGGCCGTGAAGCCTATATCAGAGGTGAAGGAAAGTGAAGCGTTGTTGGCTTCTGAAGCTCGTGTTACTGTTAAGTGAACGCTGCCTATTAAGGCACGTGTCGAAGGCTGACGTAGAGTTAGACCAATGTGCTTTCCGGTTGAGTATAACAGACGCCATTTTCCCGGTAAAAGCTCCAACCAACACTGTTTAAACCAAGAGATTAAAACCATGTTATGTTGTTCACTAATTGAATCATAAGCATGAGAGGTGGTGATTCGTACATTTGGCTTTGGACATGGGTTTAGCATTTCCATTAGTTCAATGAAGTGAGCAAGTCTTTGTCGCTGCATAGGATTTGTTTTTAGTTTTGTAACTTTTGTTCGAATTTCTAAAACAGAGAGCAAAAGATCTCATATATTACCTGAGGCATGCGGTAAATGTATTCTTCTGAAATCCTTACTGCGGTTGATCCAAGACCCCATCTGATGATATCCATTGATGGGGCAACACGCCATCTTGGTCCACACAGAAAGGGATGTTTAAGAGCATCCAAGCAACTGCACCAAAACCACAACAGATTTTGATTAATGTAGCTTCTTAGTTCGATAGATTGGTGATATTATCGTGCATTAATGATATGTTACCTTATTCTTTTAGAAGGTCTGGTAGCAATCAATGACGATAAAAGGTTCCAACCTGCTCCCCAGTTTCTATCAAGTATCTGAGAGCAAACCAAAGAGTTTGATGATAAAAAACTGTTTAATGTTTATGCTGAGAGGTGTAAGATATCACTTAGCTGAGTACTTACTTGCACTCCTGTATTTCCAGATTCGGAGTTTGTATTGAGCGTTGTCACGAAGAATTCCCGTAGCGAAGAAGGATCATTTCCCTAGAGATGTACACAAGTTTATAATATCAAACTAATCTACAGATTACTATATCAGGCACATTCTGTAGCTTAGTTAATAATACCTTTGCCAGGAAAGACTTCAACTTCGCAAAGATTATTGGATCCATCAGCTCTTGAAGTACCATTTTTGCCATCATGAATCCAACACATCTTTTGACCATGAAAAGGAAAACGTAAAACTCAGGCTGAGTAATGTAAACAAACAGAGATTATATATTTAGCATCTCTTCTCAAGATATACCTCATGTCAAATGCTATCATCATTTGTCGTCTGTCCATGGTACTGTAAGCGCTGCTAGTACTTGGACCATCCCCGCCAAAGTCAGCAGCATTCCCGAGAATCCCTACCTATAGTCGGGAAAGAAAAACTGAAATTAAATGGCAGGACTAAGCGATAACTTAGCTTAATAATCAAACTTCACTACTGAAAGTATATACTAACTTTGATATGTCTATCCACAGGGCTAATATGCACGTTTTCCAATCTCAGTTCCGTGTGAGCAAGTCCATGGCTGTGCAAGTAATTGACCTTCAAGTTAAAGAACACCATCATTAAGCAAACCATGACGTAAAGAAAGAACTATTCCGCTTGTTTGAAGGACACAATACATACTCCGATTAAAAGATCTCTCATTAATATACGGATTAGTCTCAACTGCCTTGAAACTGCAGGCCCTCCAGTAGTATCATCCCCTACTCTTCTAAAAGATTCTTCATCTAGTGCAAGAGTAGCCTCTAACGTTGGAAGCCAATCAGATTGTTGAAGCCAGTGCCTAATCGAGAAACTTCCATGGCACTAAAAGAAGAGATAAAGATTAAACGAACGGTAGAGAAACCTGTGAGACGAAACAGAACTCTGCAACATTTAAGAAGGGAGGCACTTACCCCATGTACCAGTGTAAATGAGTACGGATCATCTCCCAAGTTGTTTGAGATATAACCGTGAACTTGCATTGAGTAAGAATGGTAGAGAAGACGACGACGAACTAGCTTTTTCAATACCTGCAAGTAGTGATACAAATATCGGTTAAACTATACTGTAGAGAAACACTAATAGAGTGATGATGATGATGCGAAAGGGAGCACACGAACTTCTATGGCTCTTCTTCCTCTTCTTTGAGCGTGAGTGGTATACAATTTCCGAAGGACAACTCCTTGGTTAAACAAAGGGCTGTGAAAATTGAAGGCACCACACAGATGAATCCCCTGAAATCATCTTGAGATCTTGTAATACAATGAACTAGAAACTGACCTATCTGGAACCTGAACTATAGCTTCAAACACTAGCTCATCGGCCTGTAAGAGAAAGTATTGCCATTTAGTCAATACCAAACATAGTAAAAAGTAAAACAGAGAAAAAAACGACAATCAGATTTGGTAATAGTACCCTGCCGCCATGACCAATGCTAACACGATCAAGAATCTTGAAATCATTCCACTTGAACTGCTTCACATGTGCTGATTCATCCTCCACAGAAACCGAGGGATTGTTCTGAACATCCTCCTCCATCTCCATTGATGATGACGAAGATTTTAAGGAAGATGAACAACGAAATTTTACAGGAACTGAACTCGTGGGCTGCCATAGACCACGGTTTCGTCTCAGACCAATGCTTGAGTTCTTAGCTGATTGAAACACTTCCAAATTCCGCAGATTTGGAGTCGAACACACACCACAAAGTGCCATCCGACTAAAACCCTCTACACAAATTCAAAAGAGAGTATTTTTAGTTCGACACTTGACATTTCAAATTTAGAAATTTAATTCACAAACAAATCAAACACATTCCATATAATTTCTCCTCACGAAATAGAAGCAATAACAAAGCTAATTATTCAGAAATTCAATATCTTTTCAACAAAAGCAGAGAAAACGATGGAAAATTGAAGAGAGACTCCGTGAACAGATTAAATTTCGCAATAAACAATCATTGATCAATGATGATACTCGAATTAAAAGCTCACCGCTAAGAAGAACCGATCAAACACACAGAGAGGGAGAGAGAGATATCGATCTGGAGACGACACGCAAACTTCACATTCAAAAAATGGATTAATTCCAAATTTAAGAAGAAATTAAAAAAATGAAAGTCGTATAAAACGACAGAGAAGCTCGTGAGAGTTGCGTGATGAAGTACGCCTGAGGCATCGCGCCTCGAGCTCGACTCACGTCTACGTCTGCCCCATTCATTTCTACAAATATCTCACTTCCCAAACTATCACTGGGCCTTAACCAAATTAATGGGCCTTTTAGAGTTTAATCTTTCATGGGCCATATACTATTGGGCTCCAGCTGTCTCCAAGTTTGAGTCACATGACGTGGCGATCACTGACTGGATGGATGACTGAACGTGCGATAACCGTCGCGCTAGCTTACTGAACCGGCGCAAGCAAAATTCGATCTGATAACCTTCAGGGGCAAAAAACCGTAATAATATCGGAGTTTAGAGGGTTAATATCGTCATTATCGATGTAATCCCTTAGTCTTCCCCTTGTCTGAAAAAAAAACAGTTAATCGAACGCAACACATTTTCTCGTTTCTCTCTTGAGCATCGAAAGGGCATTACGGCCTCTCTCTCTCTCTCTCTCTTCCATTTTTATCCTCTATCTCCCGCTCCGTGGCTCTTTTGTAATTTCTCCATTTAAATCTCGCCGCCGGCCGTCGAATCTCCGGTGATCTGGATTCTTCGGCCACCGTTTCTCATCCCCTAGTGTCTTGTATCGTTTCGCGACTTGCTGTGAGATCAAATCCCCTTCGAAAACCTCGATTAGGGTTACCGATTCGGAATCGAGAAGAATCAGTTTTTCGTAGATTGGGGGTTTTGTGATTTGCGGAGGTTTTTGCGGCTGTGTAAGTTCGGTTTCCCCTCTTTTCTGATTTCATTACTGCTGTCGAAGTGATTTTCTCGAGATGCCAAGGAGTACGAGGCACAAGTCGAGTAAGCATAAGGATGCGAGGGAGTACTCTGATTCGGAGAAAGAGTCGAGTTTGAAGGAGAGGAAGAGCAAAGACGAGAGCAGCGCTAGGGTTTCCAAGGATTCTGGTTCTGGTGACAAGCGAAAGCTCGATTCCAAGGAGTATTACGATTCGGTTAATGGCGAGTACTACGAGGAGTACACTTCCTCTAAGCGGCGGAAAGGAAAATCCGGTGAGAGTGGTAGTGATAGGTGGAATGGTAAAGATGATGAGAAAGGGGAGAGTTCGAAGAAGACGAAGGCGTCTAGTGAGAAGAGTAGGAGGAGAGAGGAAGTAGATGGTGAGGAGACGAAGAAGAGTAGTGGTAAAAGCGATGGGAAGCATAGAGAGTCTAGTAGAAGGGAAAGCAAAGAGTTTGACAAGGAAAAGGATCGGGAGAAAGATAGGAAGTACAAAGAAGGCAAAAGTGAGAAGTTTTATGATGGTGAAGAACACCATAAATCCAAGGCTGCCTCTGATAAAACTGGTAAGATATCTCGACCATGTTATCAAAATAGCCACTGGATACTTCAATGAACAACATTGCCTTTTCGATTTTTGTGTGTGTGTGTGGTTTAGTTGACTTAAGTGCTCGTCTTTGTTGTTGCTTTGGAGAGTTTTGATTCTATGCTAAACACAGTTGTGGTTGCAGTCTGCTTAGATATTTATAGCTTTAAAAAGCAAGATCTATCTGCTCTCTCTCTTTTTTGTTAATGAATCAAAGTTTTTAGTGGAAAGTAAACATACAGGACGCCTTTTTTTCTAATAATGGGAGTAGTACAATCTTTGTGTATCAAAGTGTAGTCTTTTGAAGCAGTATTGTACTTAGCGCTTGCAGAATGTATTCCTGTTTCTTCTATTCTACTGCATTTCCAAAATAAATGGAGTCAATGTTGTTTTGCTTGCCACTGTATTCTAGGCTGCATTTAACCATTTAAAATAGATGAAAAGTTGCAAATTTTGTGTATTTAGTTAGATACATCATATTAAATTGCATAGTTTAGAAAGCTGCAACAGGTTTTTTTTTACTGGGTTTTGCTAATCTTTCTGTTTCTTTTGTGCCCAGAGTCTAAAGCTCAGGATCAACTAAGGAGTCCAGGTACGGAGAATCATTCTGAGAAGCGATCAAGGCGTAAGAAGGATGATCACGGTGTTGGTGACAAGCATCAAGATAACAGTGATGATGTTGGTGATGACTACGTTAAAGATGACTACATCAAAGATGGAAAACAGAAGGGAGAGAAATCCAGAGATAAATATCGGGAAGACAAGGAAGAAGACATCAAACAGAAAGGTGACAAGCAGAGAGATGACCGACCTGTTAAAGAGCATCATAGGTCTGAGGAGAAGCTCCTCTGGGATGACAGTAAAAAAAAATCTAAATTTCAGGATAATGACCATGGCCATGAGCCTGACAGTGAACATGATGGATATCATGAGCGTGAACGCAACCGGGACTATGAGAGAGAAAGTGATCGAAATGAACGGGACCGCGAACGAGCTCGTGATCGTGATTATGAGCGAGATAGGGACCGTGATAGGGATAGGGATAGGGAACGTGATCGCGATCGTCGGGATTATGAGCATGATCGTTACCATGAACGCGATTGGGACCGTGATAGGAGTAGAGACCGTGACAGGGATCATGATAGGGACAGGACCCATGACAGAGAAAAAGACCGTAGTCGTGAGTATTATCATGATGGGAAAAGGAGTAAAAGTGACCGGGAAAGGGACAGTGATCGCGATGTGTCGCGTCTAGACGATCAAAGTGGTCGTTATAAGGATAAGAGGGAAGGTAGGAAATCTCCAGATTATCAAGATTATCAAGAGGTCATCATGAGCACTAGAAGTAACAGAGCAGAGCCTGATGGTGACGTGATAAGATCAGAGCGTCAGCCTTCCAGCTCGGTTGTTAAAGAAGAGAATGGGTATGATTTGGCCTCTATGCATTTTAGTGTTGTGATTGGTGCTGTGTCCTTCAAACGTGCTGTGTGCTATACTTCGAATTTAATGTATTCATTTTTTTAGTTATTTTAATTCCAATGGAGGTTTAGAGACTGATCATAATTTTGTTTGTGGTGAAACAGGAATGTGGCGGATCAGATAACCAAAGGGGTCTCTTCCAGGGAGGCGGCCGAGCTGTCTGGAGGGTCGGAGAGAGGTCCAAGACATAGAGTTTCTGAGAAAACAGTAAAGATGGAAGATGGTATTTTGGGCGAGTTTCAGGGTGAAAGGTCTTCTGCCACAAAAGCTTCACCTCGACCCATGGTTGAAAGATCTCCCTCTTCAACGAGTCTCGAACGGAGATACAATAATCGGAGTGGTGCAAGACGGAGTCTTGAGATTGAAGAAGCAGGTCACAGGAACAACGCTAGGGATTTTTCGGCAGCTGAGGACGAAAGGCTTCTGGTAGATGAGACATCTCAGGCAGAATTATCTTTCAACAATAGAGCCAACCAGAACAATTCTTCTTTTCCTCCACGACCTGAATCTCGGAGTGGCATCAGTAGCCCTAGAGTGAGCCTTCGTGACGATGATAACAGGGGCAATAACGGTGGTCGTTATAAGAGAGGCGTTGATACCTCTATGGGAAGAGGGCAAGGTAATGTATGGAGAGGTGTCCCAAGCTGGCCATCTCCACTTCCAAATGGATTTATGCCATTTCAACACGTTCAACCTCATGGAGGTTTCCAAGCTATGATGCCTCAATTCCAGTCTCCAGCTATCTTTGCGGTGAGGCCTTCAATGGAAATGAATCATCCTGGAATCCCTTACCATATACCTGATGCTGAGAGGTTCTCTGGTCACATGCGTCCACTCGGGTGGCCGAATATGATGGATGGCTCAGGCGCTTCTCACATGCATAGCTTTTTTGGGGATATGAGTAATAGCGTTTACAGGGATGAGTCAAACATGTATGGAGGACCTGAGTGGGACCATAACAGGAGGATGCAGAGCCGGGGTTGGGAATCTGGTGCAGATGAATGGAAAAACCGAAATGGAGATGCAAGCATGGAAGTCTCATCAATGTCTGTTAAAGATGACAACTCGGCACAGGTTGCTGATGATGAGTCTCTTGGCGGCCAAACAAGCCACTCTGATAACAATAGGGCAAAAAGCGTCGAAGCTGGGTCGAATCCAACATCTCCAGCAAAAGAACTGCCTGCGAGTTCTCCCAACACTGAGTTGGAAGTTGTGGCGGAAGATCCTGTGCCAGAAAAAATTGATAACACTGAACGTTATCGCCGGCATTATCTCTCAAAGCTTGATATATCGGTAGAGCTTGCTGATCTTGAGCTGCGGGAAAGCATTAGCTTATTGATGGGTGAAGAACGTCTGACAGTTGATGATGGACCTGCTGTGTTTGTAAATCTCAAGGTAAAACTCTCCCTATACTCAGACATTGACATAAATCGTTCTATTTGTTCGCAACGTTGAGACCCTTTCTCATATTTCTATATTCTTTTGATGGCAGGAAGGTGGGAAGAGAGTGCCCAAAAGCAAGAGTACTTCCTTGACGACCCTTTCACTGTTTCCTTCTCAAAACAATTCAGTGTTTCAGGTAATGCACTAACACACGGAAAATAAGATTCTGGTTTTGTTAGCTCGGGGCAATTTGAGACTTATGTCAATATAATAACGTGATCTTCCCACTTTCAGATAGCGATGGACCTTTACAAGAAGCAAAGATTTGAGTTAAAGGGTCTTCCAAATGTCGACAATTACGGGCCTCCTCGAGCCTCTCCTTCCAATTTGGTTGAAAACGATACCAATGATGATGTGAATGATGCCATGAAAGGAAATAGTTTCATGGAGACATCAGATGTGAATATTGCGGATGTGCCAGATCCAGAAACATGTCAAAAGGAACAGCAAAATGTGTCGTCGTCACCTGTGGATGCTGGAATGGTGATAGAAACAAAAGACGAAGGATCTTCATCTCCCAATGCAGACAAGTCACCTGAGGCTCCGGAGGCTGTGGTTCCAGATCACATTGAAGGTTATGAGCAAGATGCAAAGTCAGATGAAGGAAGTGATGAAGACCAGACAATGGAGACAAAGTCAGATGAAGGAGCCGGTGAAGACCAGACAATGGAGACAAAGTCAGATGAAGGAGCTGGTGAAGACCAAACAATGGAGACAAAGTCAGATGAAGGAGCTGGTGAAGACGAAACAATGGAGACAGCTCCTGCACATGATGGTGGTCCAGAAGGTGATCCTGTTACCTTGAATATAGCTTCACCGGCTCTCGTGGCTATGGAGGTTGATGAGCACAAGAAGGATTTGGCTGAGGACGAGAAGATGGAAGAAGAAGAAGAAGAAGAAGAAGCAGAAGAGAAGAATGAAGCTGATGATGGTGATGTAGTTGTTGGGGATGTATCTCCGAAGGTAACGGAACCATTAGTTCATGAATCTGATGAGTCAGTAATAAGTCGGATACATCATTCTCCTCAAAGTACACATTAAGACATTTTCTATAATTCCATTCTCCTGCTTTTGTTTTGCTATTTTTTATCTTTTCTTTTACTTGCAATGCAGTTTTTATTATTCTCCTCAAAAATCCATTTTGCTTCTGTTCCTTTTTCTTTTGTTGCCCTCTTTACTCATTTCGTGCCAAAAGAAAATAATAATAAAACTTTAGAGAAAAAGAAAAAAAGCTTTCTAGTCTCATTTCTCTTTGCTTTTCAATCTTTTGAGTAATTGAAACCCTAAAAAGGTGAAAGTTCAAAGAGTTATCTATACAGAAAATGGCAAATGAGAAACAACTTAGCTACACAAACCTCCCCTAGTGTGTTTCTACCTACAAAAAAACTAAATAGAAGAAGTGCCTTATTCGGATAACGAAAAAGAGTCGTGTCTCTATGCAAAGGAACAATGTCATCATCAGCTTTAAGCTCCACGAGATTCCCCTATTCAAGCGTGGAGAGCAACATGTTCTTGAGTTAGTAGTAGTCAGGTTCTTGGCTTCTTCTTCTTATGTGTAAGAGCAGCTACAACAAAGTTTCTCTAGTTCATGAATTTCCTGCAGTTGAGAGATTTGCATAGACATGGCACCTTGAATTCATCTGGCTCATCTGGATCAAACAAGTAATCATATCTGCCAAAAACACACACAACCAATGTCATATTTAGTGAAATAAGTAATCATATGATGCGTTAGTTGTGTAAAGAGAGTGATATATGTATATATATACGTTAACTCCTCGCCAGCAGGTACGGTGGTCTTAGCAATCAGAACAATCCGACTTTCGTCATCTCCTACACTCATAATCCTTGCATAGCAATTTGGCATACACTGCATCACACAACACACCAGTTTCGATTAGACTGAAAGACTCTCTCTCTGTTGTATAAACGATGGTTTGCTTACCGAATGGTTAATAAGTCTAGCGATATTCCCTTTTTCTGTAGCATCCACCACTACTTCCTCACTGATCTTAAACAGCTGCACCAAATTTAAAAACAAAACATAATGTTTCAGTAACTCAAACCCATATCAAGACTGTAAGGAAGAGAAGTATCGGTTACAACTCACATAGCAATCCTTCCCTTCCCTACGATATCTTGCTTCCCTTAAGTCTGCAATGATTCCTCTCACTTGTTCTCCGCGGTATTCAAGAACCTCAAAAGAAAAATACATTTTAACACTTTAACACAACGGAGGAAAGGAAATGGATTTTCCTTCATGGAAGAAGAAATATTCAGATGGCTCCGCCTACCATTTCTCCTTCTTGAATAATTCTTCTCGCGAAAAGACCCCATCCATGTATCCCAGATCGACCAAAGCAGACCCGATCCACTTCTGTCCTCTGTCACAAGACATGAAAACTCGTAAGTTGTAGAATACAACAATAGATACAAGTACGTTAATCTCTTTCAAGCTTATGGGAATGCTTACCTGCAAGTGGTGAAGCCGTTCCCTGAACGAGGAAAATGATTTGGGTTCTTCTGCCACATGCTACACATAATATTTAACAAAAAGACTCAGTCCCAAGGTGCATTTCCTGGTGCATTATGCTTATTAGCACTACAGAAAGCAAATTTCTTACCCTGAATGCGTTCAGAGTTTGGATCGCTGCTGAAGGATGATGACGTGGTCCTCCAGTGTAATGAGGAATACCTTCTTCTTCAGTCCTCTACAAGCAACCCACATAACGGATTAGCCTACTGAAGAAAGATGACTTGAACTTATGTATACAGAGCTTTTAAAGATTCAATAAAGATACCTTCTTGCTATTAACCTTTCTTTTAAACACTCGACAACGAGCAGAAGAAAATGGATCAACTGGTACGATATCCTCTGCAGGGGACTCTTCAACTTCTTCTCTGTTTGCTAAAATAAGCCTCGAACCCGTTCTCTTCTTGTTTTGCACAAGACTTTTGGCAGAGAAGATTCCTGAAGGCGTTTGTATAATTAGCACAGTATCTGGATTCGGAGCCCTGCACCAAAAAACAACCGAGAAAACAAAATTCATAACCCAACAATTAGATAGCACAAATTTTAGCAAGCAGGGTATTAAGAACATTTACCTGTGATAAGCACAATACGACACCATCTTTGTTATCTGTCGACCATTTTTCTCCAAGCAGTGCAACTACATTCAAAATGTACATATATTACCAAACAAACTTAAAATATCTTCGAAACTGAACATAGCTTACGAAATACCAGTTCAAATACGAAATGTTATAGCAATTTGATTCCATACAGATCAAACGCGGGAGTCATATGGATAAATCAGAAACAAAATGGCTTTACCTCCATTCTATACCCAGCTCGGGAAGCACACATGGCATGATAATAAGTAGAGCACTTGCAACACTGAGTGCACGAGCCATGTATTTGCTTGCATATCACACAAATCTGGAATTCATCAAACAGGAGAAGAGTTTCTTTCTTTTTAGTTTTGCACATATGACCGTGAGAGCCAATAACGCGCAATAGACCGAATATGAGACATCAATGAATCAGATATGTACGTACCTTCACAAAATTACTTGATGGAATACTCAAAATCCCCAAAGCTGGTTCCATTTTTTCTTCACTTGCAAAACATACTTCAGGCTGAAACCAAGCACATGTCACGTGAACCCACAGTGTCTCCACATCAGTGGGCTTCAATGCACCTCCTATTTATCAGTACACAAAAATTTGCTAAAGTTAGTTGACGAATTCTCAATGAAAATTCCAATTTCTAAGGGGAATGGATAAGCTAAAGATGCTATTTAAGTAATATGCATAGGTGCCACCGGGAGAATCAATTACTACGGTGAGGAACACCTTTTTACCGGTTCCAGTAATTGTAACAGTAAAGTACGAAGACCATGTTAGATATACCTTTTACAGGACAGAGACAACACTCTCGTTTGATCTCAGGTGTCTCGCAGGCTTTGCAGACCCATGATGTGAAGTCACGAACGTTTCTTGTCCCATAGCATTCCTGATGAACTGCTATTTGACATCTGAGAAGAAAAAGGAACAGAAGATATTATTTTCAGTGATACTTAATTATGCTTCACATGTCAGATATTTTCCATTATATATTCCAAGAAAACAACACAGCAGAAACTTTTCCATCAATAACAACACTAAACTTCAATATTACAAGAGCTGTCTAGTGATCCCAAGAATGAAGATAATGCAATACATTAGATCAAGCATTCACAAGGTTAATCTATGTACGAAAGATAATGATTTTCACCCAGAATCTATGATTTGTCAAGAAAGATTAGAGCAACTACGCATTTTATAACTTTACCTGTTGCAGATAATGATCTTGTTGTAGTCCCAATCTTCAACCCATCTGCAAACTGCACATCGCTCGGTTGTCCACTTCACGTTGACAGGCTCATACTTCTCTGCCAAAAAGAACAGGACAACGTAAGCAATGCACAACACAGCAAAAACTTTTCCATAGGTTCTGAGATCCGAATTGCTTAATACCTCTAAGAAAGGAAAGCAACCGCTGCTTTCTCTGCTTTATAGAAGGTCGTTTAGGAGGTTTTGCTGCAGTAGCATTTGCGTGGAACTCGGCTAATTTCAGCATCTGCATGATGAAGGCATATGGCAGTCAAACTTTTGGTAATAGACAGGAAAAATTCAAAAGAACGAGATCACAACCCTAAAGATAATTGCAGAGAATTTTGTACAAACCCATTCTTCTAGAGGCAGCTTGGAGCTTTTAACTTTAACACTAGTCCTCCAATTTTTGGCTTTTGAACCAGTATGCCTTTCCCATTCACTAAGTGCTTTCCTTTCAGGTCCACAAGATCCACACTTACATACAACTCTGTAAACAAACCAAATGGAGTAAGAATACTCTGTAAATCATTCAACATAGATACCTAGTCTGAGATTAAAAGGTCGTTGCTTTGCCCAGTTCTAGAGTAATTCTGAGGCAGTAAAAGTGAAAACAGTGTGAACTAGAGATAAACTTACAGATGAAGGCTTGGAAAATATATGCCTTCTACTCCGGAGCATACAACAGTAACTTTGTCAGGAAGCACCATGGAGGCATTGTTTTTGCCAGGTCTATACCAGAAAACTCTCAAATTTAGAATTTGGTATTCACAATTCAATTGTTGTAAAACAAATAGCAGTTAGAAGAAAATGGCCCTACTTGGATTTTGTGTCTTGTTTTTCTGAATCAGATAGCTCAAAGTTGAATTTTGTTCTGCAGGTGGGGCAATAGTAATCTGTTTCCTCCAAATCCTTCAGATTGTCAAATGAAATCGATTTCAATACATGCAAGTAATTGGGAACAATATAACCTTTGACAAAAAGCAACATGAACTTGTTGTACCTTAAAATGCTTATGTGATATTTTATCACACACTCTGTGAATCCACACTTTACAACCATCACAACGCACCTGATTCAAGTAATCAAATGGTAAAACTGTAAGAAAACATTAGCAGATTCCACACTACAAAATATAACATAATTCAGTATGTCTTTTTACCCAGCTCTGACTATCCGAATGATTCCATATCTTCTTGCATATACCACAAACCTGTTTTGGTTTTGTCAACTGCAACGAGAAATAGTTTAGTTCACTGACTTGATACTGAACAAGAAGGAGAGCAGAGCAGAAACTTAACGTACCTTTGAGCAAGGTTTACACAATAGTTGATCTCCGGGAATCAGAGCTTTCATTTTCTGTGCCATCTTAAAAGAAAGTATCACTCCACATCCTACACATGCTCTTGGATTTCTGTATTTTTTCAACATGTCCTGCAAATAAACAAACTCAATTTCTATAACCATCATGGAATAATAAACTATACATGCTCAAAAAAGGAAACCCCAAGAAAAGAGAAACTTGCCTGGCTTGGATCAACTTGATCGAGATATTGGCTCGACCCTGCAGCTTCTTGGATCCATCTGTAGACAGAATCATCAAAAGTCTGGTTACCAGCGGCCATGTTAATATCCTGCATGAGTTTCTCTGTGAATCCTTGGTCTGCCATAAGTGCTTCTTCAAGCGCTATCTGGAAATCACCAGGGTTGCATCCACGCAGCTCGGACTGTTCTTGAAACCTAAGAAAGAAGTAAACTTATTAAGCAAAACATCCACATGTAGTAAACAAACAAACAAACAACCATCTTTCGTAAGATTCTAGCAACGACTCACCTGTCTACATAATCCACAAAAGGGAAGATCATGCCCCTTCTTACCCACGCATAGTCCTGTTACATAATCAAGTTAACAACAAGCCAATAAATCCAACAAAAAACAGCTTTTAGAATCATACAAGAAGACAAAAACAGCCAATACCCTTTCGTTCTCTGTCCCAGAGTGACCAAAGAACATGACACATGCAGCATCAGGTATACAAGAACGCAAAACAAGTTCGGGCGCTTGAGTCATCGGATCGATAACAATAGCCGGCCAAAACGGCTCGTTTCTCCCGGATTTACCCCAAACCAAATCACCAGAATAAAAATCCTCTGGCCCGTAAACACCTTCTTTCTTAGGACGAGCCTCCTCTTCGATGAAACGTTGCTCGTGAAGACAAGCAAGCTTAGCAGTGCGTGAATGCTTCCTCATGTCGCTGTTGCTGTATCTTACAATCTCTTCGCAGTCATCATCATCATCATCATCATCATCTCTCTCTTCACACAATGCACTACTATACTTATGGTTTCTAGGAGCGAATTTAGCTTCATGTTGCCTGATTTTCAAACTGTGATTACTACTAGCTTTGACTTTCTCCTTTCTGCATTCCTCAATCTCTTCCTCGCGTTCTTCGCCACTGCTTTTGCCGTCTTTCCTCCAATTCTCGATAACCGAGTCGTTAAACCGAGAAGGAAGCACCTGAACTCGTCCCCTGGATGTCCTCACAAGCGGTGGCCGAGAAACGTCACCCGTCCGATCTCTCCCACGGCCAGGATCAGAAGCTAATCTCTTTGACTTTGACTCCAACTCGACCTCAACGGGAGAAGATGAGGTTTCTTTGCACCACGAAGCAGAGAATCCATTCTTTCCGTTGAGCTTCCCCGGAACTATCCCGGCAGCAATCTCTTGGAGAAGATTGAGAGGGTAATAGTAATCACCACCACCACCACCGCCATTGAAGCTCACTTTTCTCTTCTTTCGAGCTGCTCCACCGTCGTCTTCCTCATTAGTCGAGTTGCTGCGTCGTTTCAAACTCGGCATTCGAGTTTTCAATTTCCGTTTGATTATCATTGTTCCTGATTCTCGGAAACAAACCCCAATCACTGCATCACTGATTTCTCGATTCCAGAAACTGAAAGGAAGCCCCTTTCCGAATTCCACAAACCCTAATCTCTCCTTGAGATTTCTCCGTCTTTGAACGAACACTAATCCAAACCCTCCTTCGAGTTTGACCCACTATCACAGATCGCATACAATTGTAGAAAAAACTGAGTTTTTCTGGAAGGAGGAGAAAATTTTCCAAAAACACGAAAGAACAGAGAGAGAGAGAGAGATCTGTTCTCAAAATCCTAACTTATCTCTCTCTAAAACTTTCTCTCTGTTTAAACTGTAAGAACCCAGAACAAAACAAAATGCGTAATTCGTTTTTTTTGATTTGGATAAGGGAAAAAAAAACTAGAATGCTGAATTTAGTTTAATCGAAAGACGAAAGCTTTTTTTTTCGGCTCGGTGAGGAACTTTTAGAGAGAGAGCGTGACAGAGTTTAAGAGAGAGAGAAGACGACGACGAAGAGATAGAAGAAAAAACAATAAAAATTAAAAAATTAAATTTCGGAACGTGTGCACATTACCGGAGAATGATGTAAATAGGCTAACTTGCACCTATGCCTTTCTCCTTCTTTCTTCCTTCCTTCCTCGTTTTCTTGTCTTCTGGTTTACACCGATTCTTTTCATGTTCTGTTTATTTTTCTTTTTTCTGTTTGGTTTCTTTCAATTTCAAAATCAATCTGTGTTTTTCTGTTATTTGATGCTGTATAAAGCTATAATAATAAGCTCCAAAAACCATGGAACTGAAACTGGAAGTTACATGGTACGATATTTAACGACACTGTACTCACGAGCACTTTTGTTTTTGTTTTGTCATAAGACTCATCGTAAACCTTTTATTTATTTTTTTATGTATACTTCTCGTTTTATTTAGAAATATATGAAAAGAAGTCGACTTTTTTTTGGTAGGTACAGTTTTTTTTCTCGAATTCATTACCCAACTTTGCTTTTAGGTTTTTTTTTTGGCTTTAAACCAAATAGTCGAGAAAATCCAATTATTTCTGATCAAATTCGTTGGGATTATTACTCCCCAAAAATATCTGTATTTCGAGTTAAAAAAAAAACACAGGGATTATTAAGCTAAATAGTGAGTAAAAAGTATTAAGAGTAGTTCGAAAACACCAAAAGAATGTCTATATTTGACATTGATGTGTCATGTGTTCACTTCACTTGTTAAGTACTACACATATAGTAAAAGTACCAAAAAAGTTAACACACACCAAAAAAAAATTCTTAAAAGTAGTTATCGAGCAAGAAAAATGTGCAATATGTACAAAAGTAACAATAAGTAAAAACATATGAGTAGAGAAGAAGAAGAAAAAAAATTACATAAAATTATTGGCATAGGCATAAAATAGAACTGATCTTCCACATACATGAAAGATGAAAACTCTCTTTTGCGAATTTGACAAAAATGGTATATTTTGCAAACCTTTACTGATCAGAATTTAAATCTGTGTACTTCTGAAAATGCAATCTCTGAAAACTGTTAAAAAGCTGAAAAAATCTAACTTGTTGCGGTGCTTACAAGCAAAGAAAACATCAAGAACTTTTTTATATCACATCACATGATCTAATATTAGAGAATTATAGATATATCTACATCTCTCACAACCATTACATTACTTCTGTAGCTACAATTTCTTTCCTTAAAAAGCTTATTCAGGGAGACCCTATATATACAAACAAAAAACTAATTGGGATGCTTAGGTTTATACATGCATATAATATTATATAAAAAACAAAACTAGTTTCTTCTAATGAGATGGGCTTTGTCTTCTTATTCTCTTCTAAGTTTCTTCCTTCTGCTCAAGTCCCATTCCCTTTGAAACCATTCTACTTCCTCTCCTCTGTTTTCGCAAACCTTCCTCGGATCCTTGGTTGGCTATCTGCAAGAGCTTTCCTACAAGCATACTGAAACCAAACCAAACAGATTTTGAGTTACTTCGAGCTAACAAAAACTCTAATTCTCAAACATTTTTAGATGATCTTGCAAGTGTTTTGTTTGTCTACCTTGATCTTGCGTCCGAAATTTCGCCTGCTCTTCTTGTTCCTGTATCGAGAAAGCTTCTCACGTCGATCCTCTGAAGTGCAGCTCACAATTATCCTATCCAATGGAGATTGAACAAGACCAGTCCCAAGTTTCTGCTCATCAAAAAACATAAAAGATAGATATACTCAAATCCAAAATAACACAACTTTGTATCATCTTCTTGATGATTCAAGAAACAAAATGTTTGAGTGTTTTTAGCGGATTTTTCGAACCTGTATGTCACCTTCACTAAAAGCTCTTCGCATCCCATAAACAGAACCAAAATCCAACTGAGCAAAATCAGGGAAATTCTGAATCACAACAGCGTCTTGATGTGCATGTGCCCAGTCCATAGAGCTCAGATTCCCGGAGCTTACGCTCTTCTGCATATCCTGGTTCTCATCGATTGCTGCCGTCACCACAGAGATGTTCTTGATGTCTAAAACATCAGAGAATGGTGACTCCATAGCTGATTTCATCATGAGATCTTGCTCACATTCATAGAAAGCTTTGTCCAGAAGCTGTTGACCACTCTCCAATGACCCGAGATCGAGATCAGGAAGCTCACAAAGACCTTGTGAAGTGTCTTCGCCGCAAGAGATCATGGTTAGAGCAGCTGAGAGTGGATCAACGGCTAAGATTGGTTCTTCAAGAATTAGATCAGGAGCTTTAAATAGATCTCCTTCTTCTCCAATATCATACTCAGATATGTTTGATGACTCAACAAAAGCGTTGTTCTGCAAAAAAAACACAAATCACAAGTAACATCAGAATCAAAGACCACGAATCTAAACAGAACATAGTTCAAGACATTCAGACAGTAAAGCACAGATCTTTTCGGGAGTGGATTCGTTCAAGAAAAGGGAATCTCTTTTTTCTTTAGTGGAGGATTGATTTGGGAGAAGAAAGGAACAAATGAAACAACACAAACTCATTTCTAGTTATAAGATTGATTAAAAATAGAACAAGAACAAAGTCTTGAAGAACACGGAATCTCATGTTCCAGATTTCACGGAACCTCATGTGAGAAAGAGTACTAATTCCCATTATCAAAACTCAAACAAAAAAGATTTCTTTGGTTTTCCCGAGAAAACTCCTTTTTCACTTTCTTTTTTCTCACGGGAAAAGAAAATTTTGGCTTTTTGCAGCAGAAGAAGATTCCGTTTCACCACAAAGATTCCATTTTTCTTCTGTCCAAAGAAAAAAATCAAAACCTAATTTTTCCTACTCAACTTTCTCAGCAGCCAAAAACACTTATGGTCAGGTCAGCGGAACACAAATATCTCATCAAGTGGCCATAAAAAAAAATTTCCCAAGAAAACAAAATTAGCCACTAAACAGTTCACACCACAAAAAAATTTCCTCTGGAAAATCAACTTTACTAGTAGACAAATTTGCTTTCTTCATTCTCTTAAACACTCCAATTTTTAACTCCATAAACCAAAAGTAAAGAGGAAGAAAGAAGATTTATTTACATCAAAAGACAAAAACACTATGAGAATCTTGAGGGAAAATCCAAAACCCTAGAAAATCAGTTTAAAAATCAACTAAAGAGATCTGTATTCAAATGCAGTGACACAAAAGATTAAAAATGGAAAATTAAAATTCAAACCATTTCATCGGAGAGTTTGTATGATTTGAAGAGGTCTCCAAATTGGTGAATATCTGTAGAGCGATTTTGCATGTAACGGAGCATTAACCCAGAATCTGCATACATTTTGTGTTCTTGCTGTTAGTGAGAGAAAATTTTGGAAGTAGGAAATGGGTTTTTTCAGAGAAAGAGGAGGAGAAAAATGAACATAAGAAAGCAAAAAACAGAGGCCAAGTTGGGGAATTTGAGAGGAAGTCCTGAGAGAAAAAGTTTGGTACTTCTCTCCTCTTGCCTTTTTATGACAGAGAGAGGCTTATTAAATTTATTTGTTTATTGGAGCACTGTGCACACTATAGAGTAAAAAGCCCATAAGGCCATTTCTATTATTTTATTTTAAACTTTTATTTTTTAAAAAATAATAAAATAAAGAGAGGGTGTCGAACTACATATAGAATTATAAATGCCTTTTGTTGTGTAATTATTCCATAGTTGATGCATCTATAAAATATGGTGATCATAACCCTTTATTTATTTATTTTTGGCTAAGAAGAACCATTTATTTTAGTTGTGATTAGCTTTTTTTAAGTTAACCAAAAAAATATATTTGCCTTTTTCATAATTTTTCATTAGAAATCATATTTTTGTAATTTATTATAAGTAATTCTATCAAAAAAATTTAACACGATATTTTAAAATTAAAATAATAAAAAAGTAAGAAAAAGTGAGAATTTAAAACCAATAAGAAATTTTTAACAGACTTGTTTTTCTAATTAAATATTTTTAAAATATTTATTATTTAATTTATTTGTATTAAAATAAAAAAAAATAAAAATTCTAACCAATAAAGACATTTTTATGAATTTTAACTGTTAACAATAGAGAAAAAGTTCTGAGTTGGTCAGTATACAATGGTTTGTAACGCTTTATTTTGTTTTTATCGATATTTTTATATTTTTTTGTTCATATTTATCTTATATCTAACGATAGATTTATTATTTTAATATTTTATAAATTTATTGATTACTAGACATATTTTAACCTTTTATGTATTTTGTCTTCATTTATATATATATATATACATATATTATCTTTGTATCACTTTAAATTAAAAGTAATTGTTTGCCATAATGCACAAAAATAAAAAAGTTATATCTATTTTATAATAATTATCAAAGCAAAAAAAAACCAATTACTGTAAGGTTAAATAAGAAAATTGTAAGGTTAACTAAGAAAAAAGAAATTACTAATAGTTTTCTAAAACATAACCTAAAATTAAACAAAAAAGTTAGGCAATATTTTTAATTCACATGAGATTAATACCAAAATGAAGAGTGCTATCAAGAGTTTGATAAGCTGATCCGATTTGAGTTTTAATTTATTTATTTTATGAGGAGTAAAAGTTAAATATGTAAGCATGCAATTAGAACAGGTGAAGCATGACGACTTGCAAGGAAAATCCAGTACAGTGTTCCTTGTCAATTTATCACATGTCTTTTTTATATTCCATTTATTCAATCATATGGTTCCTTTCTTTTTCACAAAAATATACTGTGACAACTGTACATAATAATATTCTCCAACGCGCTTACATATTTACATGCCAAAACATTTTTGGGTTTAAGAATTTAGGTCAGAAAGTAAGTCACTGTAATGTAGAGCTAATGTAGAATTCTATTAAAATTGACAACAAATTGGATCTTTTTAAAAATATGATATTAACTAGGATTTTAAACTTTACGAAAAATAGATGTTCAAACTATTAAAATCCTCAATCATAAATAAAATGAACCACGCAGTAAAGAAAGTTTACCAATCGATTAATGTTCTTGAATGGAAACTGAATGTTCTGTGGTGTGTTCCATGTTGTTCCACTACCATACTTCAGTTCAGGTTGTCATTTGGAAAAAATTACATGAATTAAGTAAATAAAAGCCGTGAAAAAAATAATTAAAAGATAAAATAATAATAAGTAATTAAAGTATAAAAGTAGAAAGAAAACTGCATGCCCACACATGAACTAGTGTGTGTATGTACATTCTACGGTTACATATATACTTTTCATTCTAGATTACTCTAGAAACATTAGAAAATAGACAAAAATTTAGAATTATTACACTTATACCGCGTTCATTATTATCAACAATCAATTTTGTTTAATTGGTTTACATTTATTGTGTGGTATTTCCTTCCATCCACTCTTTACTAATCATACTTGTTCTGTTTATTTCATTTTAATCTATGTATTCTGAATCATTTATTTTGCTACACCACTACAACTTTATATTTTTCCTATAAAGAATGTACCCTAATAATCATATAAATCAATTCAATATTACTCTAGATAAAATTATAGACCATGTCATTCATAATTAATTTAGCTGCAAATATTATCTCACAAATCCATTCTTTCCGATAAATTAAAATTTTAAATCCAAAGGTCTTGAGTTAAGATATTCTTAAAATTAAATAATTACAGGAATCTAATTCAAACCAGAAACAATACTATATAGTAATATAAAGACAAAAGAATTATAATAAACCATATGAGATTGGGAAAGATAAGAATTGCCAAGTTGAAATAAACATTAAACAAGCGACTGATGTTGATTAGGTTAGATTTTTGTCAATCTTTGTTTTGCTTTTATTTTGGGATTATTAAGCTTTACACTGATTGTTTATTTGCTTTTGTAAACTAGACTATACTATAAGAGATTAAGAGTATATTAAAGAACTAATTGATATATTACGGTGGTACGGCTGCAACTTGCAGAAGTTGTGACTGCTACAATTTACGCACAGCACATGTTTGTCTAGGTCCTACATAGCTCTGTTCATCTGCCACTTCCTCATTTGCTTTTCAATTTCGCGTGAACCATAAGATTCTCGCTAAATATAATAATAGTAGTAAATACTTTCTCTAATTATTATCTAAGTGGAGTTTTTACTGGACTGGTAAATATTTTGGGTGGCGGACATTTTGTAAAAGTTAAAATTGTATTAAATTAATAATCGCTCAACCGGGAAGTCTGATAGGTTACAAAAGTTAAAACGGAGCAAAACTGGAAAGAAAACAAAAAAATATAAGACACCAGACATGCTACATGTGATGTGACTAAAAGCTTAGTTTTTGATCGATGATATTTGATACCGTTCCGGTTGTAACTGGGATAGTTTAAAACATACCGTTGACTAAATAGCTATGACTATTTATTCACATATATCGATAGTACCAAAAGAAACTTGAAAAATAGCTATAAGTTGATACGTTAATCAAGACTGTGTTCTTCTTTTGTAAGCATTTCTGTTATGTTTTTTTTTTTTTTGGGGGGGGGAGGGGGTCTCACACAGTGTTATTGATTTTATAAAGATAACGAGTTAGCAAAAATAAAACACTTGTTAATTAGATTTCCAGCCAATTGAAAGTGAGATTATACACTAGATCTTTTACACTTTGTGTATGAAGGTTCCTAATAAATGCAAAACCAATAGTAGATTAGGACAATAGGAGTAAAAAGGATTCATTTAATTGGATAGGTTGCCTCTGTATCACTGAACCATATACCATACTTTTATATAACATAAATAATATAAGAGTGAAGATAAAAGACGACAGAGATATTTTTGTCTTTGTTTACTTATTTCCCGATGAAGGCCCAGTTTGTTTTGTTGTTCTTTCGTCAAGATCTTATTCATCACAACCAAATGTGATGATAATTCACAATCAATCACTTAATAATACTATTATATATAACTCATGTGCGAGTAGCTGCATGATATATAATATTAGTATTTTTTCATTCGTTTTCATAAAATCATATGAATAGATGATTGTAGTTCCTGTGTGGTATGGGCCATTACAGCTTTCTGCTAATCAATGATTTTTTTTGATGTAATAAGTTTCAAGAGTTTAGGTTACACAAACTGCAAAAATCCAGAATAGTGAAGAAAAAGTTAGGAAGACCTCCAAGGAAAGAAAACAATACTATTAACACCATTATAACCTCGGGAATAAACTCATGCAGAAGGAAGCTCAAACAGGTGCAGCAATCCCCGAAGAAAAGAATACAAAGAAGCAAGACTAAACCGTACAGTGAGGAGGTGGGACCTTCAGACAAAGCTCAAATCCCACGATTACACATCCCCCGATCACACATCCCCAGCTTGAGTGCTTAGGAAGAACAACTTCCACCAACGACCACAAGTGCAGTCCTGTCTTGCCCTACCATGTCTGCCATCTCGAGGAACCAGTCGGATTTTCGGGATTTAGACACACCTCATCCACCAAGATAGTAAGCTGGAACTGTTAAGAGTTGGAGAAATCTCTTGACAGTCCACAGGCTTAGGGAGTTACACAAGACGATCTCTCCCAACATTCTATTCCTCTTGGAGAAAAAAAAAACAACGATTTTGTTCTCATGAAGCTTAATTGGATGAATTATCACTCCCACACCTTAGTTCCCCCTCAAGCTACGAAAGGTGGCAGATTAGAACTTTTCTAGAGGAAAGAGAGAGAGCTGGAAATATGAACAGCAAATAAAAACTTCATTGACGCAAAAATTACCTCAGAAGGAGTACTCTCATTCGAAACTTTCGTCTATGGTAACCTGACAAAAAACTTGTGTAGCCAAGTATGGAATCAGTTAAAGGAAAAAGGAGATAACCAGGAAGCACTCTGATTACTTACTGGAGACTTCAACGACAATATTGACAACTCAGAGAAGCATGGGGGACCAACTCGACCTGGAGGATCTTTCTCCGAATTCCGAAGCTTCTTATCAGCATGCGACCTGTACGACTTGCAACATTCTGGAAACTCCCTATCCTGGAGAGGAAAATGGTACGACCATGTGATTAGATGCCGATTAAATAGAGCAGTAGCAAATAGTACATGGGCAGAGGCCTTCCCCTTGAAAAGATGTGAATACCTTCATTTCGAAGGCTCTGATCATAGGTCAATAACCACTTTCTTCAACTCCACCAACAGGAAACGAAGAGGCCTGTTTTTCTATGATAGAAGACTCTGTAATATCACCGAAGTCCACCGTCTTATCACCAAGGTATGGCAAAGAGGAGACCTAGACTCTGTTAACGAAAAGTTGGCAGTTAGCCGCAGAGAGATAATAAAGTGGAACAAAGAACAACAGAACAACAGCCAAAAGCAGATTGTTGAGCTCAAGAAGAACCTAGGATGCAATGATACCAAACCTCTTCGGAAGAGCACATAAAAAGTATCAATGAGAGCTTGCAAGAAGCCTACTATAAAGAGGAGGAATTTTGGAAGCAACGAGGCCGCCAATTGTGGTTAGCATTGGGGGATAAAAACTCAGGCTATTTCCACGCCACTGCAAGAGGAAGGAAAGCGGTTAACAAGTTTTCAGTTATTGATGATGTAAATGGCCAAACAGTGATAGAAAAAGAGAAAATAGTCCAGGTTATGGCTGACTATTTTCAAAACCTATTCATCTCAAAAGAAGGAGAAAGAAGCAATTTTGTTAACACCGCCGTTCAGACAAGAATTACGCCAGAAGAGAACGAGAAACTTGTGGAGTTACCATTGGCAGAAGAGATCAAACTAGCATGCTTCGCAATCCACCCGGATAAGGCCCCAGAACCTGACAGATTCTCGACAGCCTTCTTCCAAAGGACCTGGATGCAGGTGGGACCAGCCATAGTGGCAGAGGTACAAAATTTCTTTGCCTCAGGACACCTCCCTGCAAGAATAAACGAGACACACATTAGACTAATCCATAAGATTCAAGGGCCAAAGGTGGTGGCAGACTACAAGCCTATAGCTCTTTGTAGTGTATACTACAAGATTATCTCCAAGCTACTTACGAGGCGACTGCAACCACTCCTACAGCACACTATATCAGAAAACCAATCTGTATTTGTTCCAAAAAGAGCTAATTATGATAATGTTCTTATCACCCACGAGACACTACATTTTCTTAAAACGTCAAAAGCGAGGAAACACTGCTCAATGGCAGTTAAAACGGACATGAGTAAGGCGTATGATAGATTAGAGTGGGACTTCATTTACCTTGTGCTCCAAAGACTTGGCTTCCATCAGACATTTTGCCATTATATCATGCAGTGTATCACGACGGTCTTCTTCTCCTTCAGCATCAATGACACAGCCCAAAGAAACATATTGTCTCAGCGAGAGATCTGACAGGGATATCAACTCTCCCCATATATCTTCATTCTTTGCAGTGAAGTCCTTTCAGGACTATACAACAACTCCCAAGCTGCTGGTTGCCTCCGAGGTATACTAGTGGAAAAAAAGCCCCAGAGTGAATCATCTCCTCTTTGCAGACGACGCCATGTTTTTCTGTAGATCGGATACTAAAACCTGTCAAGCACTATGAAAAATCATTCGCCAATACTCAGGTCAAACCATCAACTATGGCAAATCAGCAATCACCTTCGGATCAAAGACACCTATGGAGATGCAACTGCGAGTTAAAAGAGACCTAGGTATAACAAAGGAAGGGAGATTGGGAAACTACCTAGGACTCCCATAGTATTTTTGCAGAAAGAAGAAAGATCTCTTTAGTCTCATCGTTGACAGAATTCACCAAAAGGGAGTTAACTGGGCCTCCCGAAGACTGTCCACAACTGGAAAACTCATAATTCTGAAGTCGATGCTTTCAACGGTCCCAACATATACTATGTCGTGTTTTTAGATACCGGTCTTCCTCTGCAAATGTATTTAATCAAGTTCTAGTGGGATACAAACCCCAAGAAAAAAGGAATGTGTTGGACAGCATGGAAGAAGCTTACACAACCAAAAAAGAATGGCGGATTAGGCTTCAGAAATTTTCAAGCCTTCAATGAAGCTCTTCTGGCAAAGCAAGGGTGGAGGATCCTCCAAAACCCAGAATGCTTACTCTCCCGAGTCCTATGTGGAAAATACTGTCTCAAGAAATCATTCCTCGAGTGACAAGTCCCGATGACAGCCTCCCATGGGTAGAAAGGAACCGTCCTTGGCAAAGATCTTATGTTGAAGAAATTGGGCAAATCGATTGGCGATGGCAAGTCAACGAATGTATGGAAAACACCTTGGCTCTCCCTCAAGGAGGCAGTTGCACCAATGGAACCAGCCCCAAGTTATCAACGACATCTCACAGTGGACCAGCTCTTAATGGCTAACTCGACAGACTGGAACATTGACAAAATCAAAGAGATCCTCCCAGCCTATGAAAAGGAGATCACTCAGATAGTCCCAAATGCTATAGGAGCAAAAGATAAATTTATATGGCTCCCCACAACCTCAGGGGACTACACCACCAATTCTGGATACTTTGAAGCAGTGGCTACTCCGGTGCCACCTCCAAATCCAGGACAAAACAACTTACAAACAAACTGGAATTCAGATGTGTGGAATGTACATACATCCCCAAAGATTCAACTTTTCCTCTGGAAAATTCTTCAAGAAGCACTCCCGGTAGGCGAGAAGTTAATGGAGCACATCGCCACGGTCTTCTATGAATGCCCACACTGTACGCCATCAAAATCAATACTCCATCTCCTATTCCACTGCCCATTCGCGATCTAGCTATGGAACTTGGCACCATTTGAAAAACCAGTTCTCACAACCCAGCTTAATTCCCCCCTCCAGGGTCTACGGTTTATGCGAGAGCAGAAATGCACATCTCAAATAGGAAGCACCCCTCTCTATCCGTGGATATGCTAGGCGATCTGGTCAGCTCGGAACAAAAAGATCTTCAATAATCGGAACTTCTCACCTGTCGAAACAATAGAAAAGGCGGTGAACGACTCAAAGAAATGGTATGAAGCTCATGAAGCCCACATCCAAATAACCCATCACCCAAACTCGAAGAAGAAAATGCCAAAAGCGAATGATTACCCGGCGTCAAGGGTGATCATTTTTTCTGATGCGGCTTAGAAGGAGGGATCAGGACTTGCAAGACTCGAATGGACAATCACACATGCAGCATCAGGCCTCAAAGTATCGGGATCTGATTCATGCAACAACAGTATATCTGCGCTACAGGCCGAAGATCTTGCTCTCCTTGCAGCAATCCAACATGCAAAAACATTGGGACTAAACACGGTATCCGCTTTCTCTGACTCTCAGGAGCTTATCAAGATAATCAATAGCGTATCAAATTACAAGGATCTTCATGGAATCGGTTTCGACATCCAAGCTATCTCTCACTCTTTTTCTAGCATTTTATTTTATCATGTACTCCAAAAAGACAATCAAGAAACGGATTCCTTGGCAAAGAATGCATTATCCTCCTTTGGCCTGAACTCGAATAGGCTTTAATTCTTTAAATTATGGAATAAAATAAGTATTTGAACAAAAAAAGTTTCAAGAATTTGTAAATAAATATATTGTGTTAGTTATAAACATAAAAATAAAAAAACTATATTTCATTTATAATGGATTGAAAATGTACATAATAACTTAGGTTTCATTTATGGCAGAATGAAAGTGATAAAAATATTAGTATTATGTTGATTTCATAGAATTCATTTGTGATGGAGTGAAAGTGATTAAAAAAAAATTAGTAATCTTCTGTAATGAAGATATATTTTATTTATGATGCAGTGTAAGTGTTAAAAAAATTAGTAATTTATTGAACTTTTTAAGTAAATAAAATAACTTTGATTTAGATCATAATAATATAATATTATCAAAATAATAAAGATTAGAAAAAACTCTTATTAAATTCTATAAGTTTTTAATTCAAAATTAATTGATAATGAATGAATCAGTAGATATATTTATTTTTTTCAATTTTTGATGTGGGATACAATCTCTAATATGCTACTCGAGATGATAGTTATTTTGGTTACTGATCTAAATATATTTGAGCATGGATCAATAAACCATCTTTAAATCATATATCAGTTATGAATGAGTTAAATTGCGTGGATTGGACTGTACTGTCATATTAAGTTATATGAACTTTCATTCTTAATTTAATTAGCAATAAATAGATTAACACATGTTTTTTTATGTATTATTTAAAATATTTTTCAACTTCTAATGTGAGATATATTTTCTAATAACTTTCAGTTTTATTAATTATTTAAAAAAATCAAGATCAACTTGATAAATAAATTAGTAACCTATTTAAACTTTATAGCAAAGCTAAAATCACGTAGTCTTGTTGTGTCACTATGTCTTGTCATTTTAAAATTAGAAATTGGGATGTGATACGTGATACCGTAATACAGTAGTTTGGTGGTATTGAAATTGAATTCGAACTAATAAATATGTTCCCATAATCTAATATCCCGAGAATGGAAACTAAGCTCTGGAAATTTCTATTTACTTGGGATAAGAATCATCATCTGAGAAGAGTTTTCTTTTTTTTTTTCTGAACCAAAATTTTCAAAACAAGTTGTTATCAAATGATATGCTTAATAGGTCTAAGATAGCTAATTAATATATGAAAAGATAATAATATTTTTTAAAAGAAATAAAAATTAAAAAACCTGTAAAAATATTAAACGGTATTTAAATGGTAATAAAAATATCGAGCAATCAATCACACTGAGATTTTAATTTTGTTTTAACTATCAATTTCAAACCACATTCCAACTAAAATTAATAAAGAAAATCGAGTTGTTTGAAACCAAAAGTAAGAATTGAGCTAAAAAAAATGTAAGAATTTTTTTGAGATTGGTCAAATATAATAATTGAATCATACAAAAAATAAAGAAAAGTGAGATATGTTAAAAATGATTTAAGAAAAAAAAATTCTAACGTTCTTATCAGAAATATGTTGTGTTTTCACTCTAACAATGTAATAAATTTTTGATGAGTTAGTAGGCCTTACCATGTTTTTCTTAGTTTAAACGGATAAAAATCTTTGATTTTAAGTATAGTTAGACATAACTTATTTTAAGTTTAAGCTATAAAATTACTGAAATAATAGTTCTATTTTATTATCATACGAGTAATTATAAAATTTAAATAATATTATATAAGTATTTGTAAAATATGTTTTTATTTAATTCTACTAAATAGTATAATTTTCTATAAATTTTATGTTCGATTTGACCAACATTAAAGAAATTAGCAATATATGATTTTATCACTTTCAGAAAAAGAAAATACACCGTGACAGGATTGATTAAAACAATTTGAACCTTCTAATTCATTTAGAGGGTCTACTTCTCGAGTTTTAGGTTAATCTGGATTAATAAATGGTTTTTTTAATAAAAGTTTTTTAATTAATGATTTTTCTTAGCTGTATTATAAGATATATGGTCAGATGAATAACATAATAGCGGAATAACTGAAAATTTGATAGCAGAATGAACTGAACTAAATAGTATTTTAGCTGAATAATTATGAAACGTTGAAAAATTACTTTTAGTAGATTAATCACGTTTTGTTTTTTCTAGCTATATTTTTAATATGCTAGCGGAATCACGTTTTAAAAACATGAAAAACGTAAAAACGTGATGAATAACACGAATGATAAAAAAATAACAGAATCAAGTTTCCAAAACGCGAAAAAACTGCATACCATTCAAACCCATACAATAATTTTTAAATAATAATCATTAAAGCGTATCTTAATATATATATATATATAGTTAAATTACATACGTTATAATTACTTAGGTTGCATGAAACCCTCTTAGAAGTATATTTCTTGTTTCACAAAAAATTCAGACATTGAAACACGTTTAAAATAAAATTCTTCTAAATTTACAGTTTGAAAACATAACAAATAAATAGTTCATATGTAATTACATTATCATTTTTTAGTTTATTATAATAAATAAAAGATCAATTTATATTAGATGAATTGATTTTTAGAATAATTGAGTTTGAAAATCTTTCATGAAGAAGAGTTGAAATCAAATTTAGTTGATAGAGTTGAGAGCACATTATTTTAAAACTTCAATGTTATCTGTTACTTTAACTATTGAAATAATTACACTTTTTTATAATTGGATGAATGATATTTTTAACTAATTAAAAAATAATATTTTATTAAACAAATAATTTTGTAAAATATGTACTTTTAGTTTAACTTATATTAAATCTTATATAATTAGATATAAATAGTATTCTCTTTGTTTTACAATGTAAATTGTTTTATAAATAATATATTCTTGTTTCAAAATATAAGTTGTTTTTACTTATTTTTATGTAACTTTTACCTTTATTGAATATTGTGTGATCAATTATATCATATAGTTTTTTTTTATAATCAGTTGAATTATATTTAATTCATTTATTTGATGATATATGTTAAATAAAAATATACTTTTTAAATTTTTCTGTGTTTAATCAAAACCACTTTGGGTCTGACTGGTATGTCAGATGAATAACAGAATAGCGGAATAACTGAAAAATTACTAGCGGAATGAACTGAACTGAATAATATTTTAGCTGAATAATTGTGAAACGCTGAAAAACTACTTTTAGTAGATTAATCACGTTTTGTTTTTTAGTTATATTTTTAACACGCTAGCGGAATCACGTTTCAAAAACATAAAAAAATGTGAAAACGTGATGAATAACATGAATGGTAAAAAATAACAGAATCAAATTTCCAAAACGTGAAAACGTGAAAAAGCTGGATACCATTTAAACCCTTTATATTATAAAAGTATATCACAAATAGCTTTTAAGCATTTCCATGTGTGTATGTGTGTCACTGTGCGTACATTTAGAAGTATCCACGTGCATACACGTTTACCCAAAGTTGTTCCAATGATCGATTCGTTCAAAACAGTTTCTACATTTATTAATTAGTACAAATCATAAGCTAATTATGGACTTTAACTAAACTTAATTAAAAACAATCGAATCTAAAGAACTAATCTCTTTATTCCGAAAATATGGTTATTTGAAATATATTAGAAAGCTCAAAAATGATTTTGACCGATTTGAACAACCCATTGCATATTAAAAAAAGAAATTGACATAAAAATGTATCTGTCTACCCGGAAAATTTTCAATACTATAATTGTATATATAGTTGATATCGGAAATCTCTCATTTCCATGATGAAGCTTTTGGTGAGAATATGAAAGACTACACATAAGTTATGAAGCCAGCTCTGAGGAATCCATTCAGTTTTATATTTGTCTCTAACCAATGCATCACGAGGTAATGGACAAAAGATAAGTTATGGAGAGAATCTCAACGCTAAAGTTGATTGATTAAATAACGAGAATTCACAGTTAAAAAGATAAAAAAATTTATCTACCTCTTTTATCAACGCATCAAACTGTTCTTAAACCGAAAATATAAAAGGTTCTTTTAATTTGTTTTTTACAAAATTTGAATAGAAACAAAAACAAAATCCTAAAGAAACAGAATTTTATTTTCCCGCAATCAAGAGAGGTCCTAGTTTCATTGCTTCCCGTGGAAGGAAAAAAAAACAATCATAAGAAAGCTGTATTTTGGGTGAATAAAGGCAAAGTGCAACCTTAACATTCCCTATTCTGGAAATAAAATTATTAAAAATAAATAATTATGTGGAAAGCTATAAAGTTCATACCAGATACGACCTTGCCTAGCCACTCGCTTTCCAGTTTCCAAACTTCTTCGTGTTCATACTGTAAGTATGAAACAGATGAGAATATGTTTTTTAAAATAATCATAAATAATTTGAAATGTTTAACAAGAAATATATAGATATAAGTACAAAACAGATAGTATGACTGTTTTTTTTTTTAACTTTAAATTAATTTTAGTAAATTAGTACTACTGTTTCAATTCAATTAGAAAATTTACGTCAATCATATTCGATTTAGACCATCTGCTGAAACCAATTTATCTGATATAATTTTTGCCCTGGGAGACGAACTTATTTATTTTATTCGACTACTTAATCACTTCCTGAACGCGAATCGACATATATACAGCCAATTAATTGAATATTTTGATTTAATATACACATATGTTATCAATACTAAAATGAAATATATGCAGGGTTCGATCGCGAGATTGACGAAGAGATAACGTAGTGATGAGGTGAAATGAATGGAGACCATGTTTGTGGTATGATACGCAACTATTATTCTTGTCAAGTAAGTATTATTTTAGAAACCCACTATATGCCTATATTGTTTGGAGTTTTATTATAATGGTTCCTAAAAAAAAGTTATTTTTCAATTTAATATGCTTTGTGGTCCTTACAATCTGATAGCAAATTCAAATCATTATAAATTTATAATGGTGTAGTTTTACCTACAAACAGTTTAAGTTTTTCCAAGCTTTTCGAGAGAAGGTTTTGGTATCCTGGTGTATCTAAAATAAATTTGTAAGAAACTAAATGCTAATTTAAA